CCCCCCCCCAGAAAAGAACAAACATCGACCTTGTCTCTGTTAAATGTGTCCTTCATAATGCTGGAAATGGATGACTTACCAATAACCAAAACAAGGAGACAGATCACTCAACAGTATAGTATAATTCTTGCACTTACAGTTAATGGTTTGGCCTCTTCTTCCTCATCTTGGGAATCTCCTGATGATAGACAAAACTTTAATCAGATAAGTAAGACAAGTCATTCTTCCATAAGAACTGATAAATGAAAACTTCAAATCTAGGCCAGGTATTGCTACTCTCCTGAGGGGAGTCACGAGTCTACCATAGGTTCCGTCCCCTTCCTGACGAGACTTTGTTGACTTTCAACCACGCTGGGATGATTGCTGTCCTGCATACTGCCAATCCTAAAGGCTTTTATAGTAAGCCAATGCTTCAATTTAAGTCTAAAGAAATTCTGTAGCATGACATGACCAAGTATTTTCTACTCTCCTTTGAAAAGTTAACAGTCCATTAGATTTTAAGCAGGTTTTCCAAACCCATTTAATAATATTATTCATCAAGTTTAAACAGAGCAAATCATGACGATGACTTTGTTTGGATATCTGATCTTTATTAGCATAGATTTTTATGATTTAATTCTTTATTTCTTCCTAGTTTTAGTTTTGATTGAGAAGATATATCAAACACTCAAGACAGTGTTAGAGCACATTTCCAATCACCTTGAAGTTTGTCAAAAATACTCTGCTGCAAATCGTATTTTCAACTCTCTTCTCTGTGTTTGGTCAAATGTGGTCTATCTGGGTCTTTCGTGTTTGATATATTTCTTCAAAGAACCAGAACATGATTGAAGAAAAGGCAGGTGTGGGAAAGTTATATGATAATTTAAGATTTATCTACCTTATTGGTACCAATTTTCGCATTGCTTTGATTTCATGATTTTTGCGATTTAAAGAAAATCGCGAACTTAAAGCAAAGCGCAAAAAAAATTCCCACAAACTTTAATGTCGCGAAATTTAATACCCTCCTATATTTCTTGTTTTCTCAATTTAATGAAGAAACACATGTCTACGTATTGTGTATAATGTGTAAAAGCTCTATGGCATGCTTACAGATGATAAACAACAGTTTAACAGTCAAATTTCACTATCTGTGTTGCTTTGAACCCCTTCATCTGTATCGCTATTGTCATCTTCAAGTTCTTTCAGAACCTCTTTTGTACAGTCATCGAAATGGCCATCTATCCTGGGTTCTTTGTAATTTGAAATGACAATCTGTTTATACTTTTCAAGTATTGCCTTGTTCCTTTCGGTAAGATCCATTGGAGCTGTAACTTGTACAGGAACTTCCAACCTCCTTGCACTAGGGGAGATCTTCAAGAGGTCCAAGAACTATTTGCCAATGGTATATTGATAACAAATAAAATGTATGTATGTATGTAAAAAATGTATGTATGTATGTAGTCTAATTCATGGCTACAATGTGAATATGTATTGTACAATTGCAAAGAACGTTATGCCGGCATAAGCATAATGTCTTTGACTATGCCTATGGACCGTACATGATGCGGTTTCTATAGCTTGGTTTTGATATGAGTTGATGATTTTCAGCAATAAGAAGTGTAAAATAACAATTAAATTCTCGAAAATGTTTTCTTTTCATTTTGCAAAAATTATTTCCCTAAGAAAATAATATAGCACCCAAATTGTGAAAATAAAGACACGCAAAATATGCTGACCTTTTTTTCGCGAAAATTAGTACCAATAAGGTAGCTAGACTCCACCTTTCATCTACATGTAAGACACAAACAAAACTTGAAACATCAAGCATTTCAATCTTCTGACAAAGTGAAAAAAGGATTTATTGTAAATCTACCTTCTTCTGTGAGGTTGGAGGCCTGACGCATATTTGCCTCGCCCTTGTTCAGATATTCGAAGCTTGGCCTGAGTTGAAGTATACCATGTATGGGCGTAAGGTGAAGCTCTCCTAATAATGAGTTACAAATAATGTACATTGTACGCTATTTCAATAATTGAAGGAGTGAGTGCAAAACCATGCTAAGTGACGATTTGGGT